GCGTGCACGTGCACGTGCGCGTGCGGCGTGCGCGTGCGCGTGCTGGCGCACGCGCGCGCGTGCGTGCGTGCGTGCGTGCATGCGTGGGCGTTGGTGTGGGTGTGTGTGTGTGCGCGTGTGTGCGCGTGTGTGTGGGTGCGTGCGTGCGTGCGTGCGTGCGTGCGTGCGTGGGTGGGTGGGTGGGTGGGTGGGTAGGTGGGTGGGTGGGTGGGTGGGTGTGTGTGTGTGTGCTTTGTTGTTGTTCGTGCTGTTGTTTGTGTTGGTGTTTGTGCCTGTGCCTGCGTTTGTGTTTGTGTTGTGTGCGTGTATGTCTGTGTGTTGTGTGATGTGCTTCATGTGTTTTGTGTGTTTTGTGCGTGCGTTTTGTGTGTCTGTGGTGTGTGTGTGTGTGTCTGTTTGTGTGTGTGTGTGTTTGTGCGTGTGCGCTTGTGTTTGTGTTTGTGTGTGTGTGTTTGTGCGTGTGCGCTAGTGTTTGTGTTTGTGTGGGTTTGTGTTTGTGGTTGCGCTTGTGTTTGTATTTGTGTTTCTGTTTGTGCTTGCGGTGCGCTTGTGGTTGCTTGCCCTTGTGCTTGCGCTTGTCCTTGCGGTTGTGCTTGTAGTTGTTGTTGCGGTTGTGGTGATGGTTGTGTTTGTGTTTGTGTTTGTGGTTGTGTTTGCGTTTGTATTAGGGTGTGTGATTGTGTTTGTGTGTCTGTGTCTGCGTTCGTGTTTGCGATTGTGTTTGTGTTTGTGTGTGTCTGTATGTTTCGATATGTGTGTCCGCAGTGGGGTCTGTGTGTGTGTGTGCGTGTGTGGGTATGTGGGTGTGTGGGTGTGTGGGTGTGTGGGCGCGTGGGTGGCTGTGCGTGTGGGGGGGGGGGGGGTGTCGATGTGTGGGTGTGTGTGCGCGCGTGCAAGTGTCCTTTGTGCGCTTGTGTACCTGCGTGCGTGCGTGTGCGTGTGCGCAGGCGCGTGTGCATGAGTTGGTTCTGCCACGATTTCCAAACTGCTCCTGAACCCTGATCTCGCGATCCACGGTGCCCATTTTCACCTCATCATCTGGCTGTGCCGGGTGCATGCAAACCAAGCAGCCGAGCATGCCACAAGCATAATCCCTTCCCCCTAATGATGAAAGGGCCTCCGTAATTTAAAGTCCTCTTCGGTCGTCTTCGCGCTTGTTCAAATGAAATCCCCTTCCGGGCCCACAAATCGTTGAAAACGATAATTTCAGAGCAAGGAATTTGAACAGCAGAAATTAGTGACATAGTGTTTGGATTATGCATTGGTTTAGGAATGGTTTTGTGTCAGTTCTCATAGGCCCCTAGAGGAGTTGGGGATGGAACAAAGATGACGGTTTTAGCATTGGTTTCAAATTGGCTGTTCTAATTTGGCATTCCCCAACCTGGTCCTTTTGGCAACTTTGCTCAAATTGTGTTTTTAATAGGAAGAAGGGATTCATCGGATTACCTCAAACCCAAACCAACCCTTTTGGCTAGAGGTTTTGGAGTTACTCAGTTTGGCTCACCTTCTGATCGAACATAACAACCTCTCGGAAATCTACACGCATCCTGAAGTGCATAATTTCGCACCCACTGGCACAAACTGCGATGTCGTATGATGTCGTCTCATCCTTTCAACGTGACTCCCTCTTGACGCACAAAACGACAAACAAGACTTCTGCACCCAACACCCAGACCAGTCCTACGCGAACAAAGTGCAAACACAAACCTACAAAAACTACCACCTACCGAGTATATAGCAGTTGCTCCGTCGTGGCAAGGGTAGCAACTCCCCTGTATAGGATGGCCGACAGAAAGAGAATGCCATCTACTTTCACCGCTGCGAGTGCAGTCCGTACGTCCCATTCCCAACTGTCCAAGGGCCCGGCCCCGCACGCCCAGGGTGTCTTCGGGCATTCCAGCGCCAGCGGGCGCCGGTCCGGGACCCCGAAGTTATCGCAAAAAAGGGACCTCGGCAAGTCCCCTTTCCTTGGCTGGAATTAGGAACCCAGCAAAAAGCTATATATGTTTGCCTGGTTAGTGGCAAACAAAGGGGACCCCAAAAAAGAAGAAGAACAAAAATGGGGAACAAATTCTGGGAAAGTGTCCATTCCGAACAATCTAAGTGATGTTAATCTGTCGCGGCGATGTGATCGGCATAACTCCCCTTCAGCCCGAACCATCTCGATCTCGGATCAAGGTGGGTCCCCTCAGCCCTGAAAAGTGTGGGGGCACACCATGTATTTTACGATGCGATGTCTCAGTGCGTCTGGCTAGGTCAAACTAGTATTGGAAACTGAAAGTTGTAAAAACTGTGTGGCCAGAAATTATAGTCTCGCTTCATTCGGTGTGTAACAAATTTTCCCATGGCATCCCCACGGCCCGATCCAAGGTTCCATGGCGATCCCTGCACACCTGATTTCCCTGGCGACATCCCGTATCATCCCGTGGCCATAGGATTCCCATTACTTCGAGGTTGAAGGGTGCCTCCGAAAGTGTAGTGGGAGCTCTTGTCCTACCAAACGTTTCTAAACTTACAACATACACACACACACATGGCCTGCTGAAAATGAAAGAATATAGATCCCCTGCATCAATCAAACATATTCAAGCCCATGCCCCGTCTGATAGTCCAACTCAAGGGGAAAGGCTCAGCCAGCCAACCACCGCAACAACTGGGTGAGACCAGCTTGCCGCTAAATCATCCAAGCGGCCGGTTCACCTGGGCAAGCAATAAAACTCAAGCACGACACGCACAAACACACTAACAGCCTCCCTGCCCGATGGCAATTTGGCAAGTGCCCGGCAAGCAAGACATCACAAACAGCTGTTCTCAAGCACACTCAGCATACAAAAAGGGCGCTGGTCAGCACCTGCATCCCTCAGGTGACAACGATGAGGAGTCCAGTCTGAAGGCAACAAATGTTCAATCTCTTATGAACACACTCCTTGGCAAACCAAAAAAAAAGAGATTGGGAGGCAAGCCCTATAGTGGGTCAATTCATGCCTTATCTCAAGGGGCAGGGTGCTTGACACTGTTTCTACTGCTGCCCCATTGGTCCATACGGAATGTATCATTGTATAGGAAAAAAACATGTCAACGTGTGCATGCTTATGTATATATATATATATATGTGTGTGTGTGTGTGCGTGTCTGTCATTTATTTGTGTATGCACGCATACACGTATGGAAGACCAATCCGCCACCACCAATGCCATTTCAACAACTACTGCCACCCGGGCGGCATCCCAGAAGTCGCAGCAGGCACTTCCGGCACCCAGGAGGTCAGATGCACCACGCACGTAGAGGCCGGCGTCATTGCAGCCTCGTGGCTCGCACGTGCGCCCCAGAAGACCACATTTTGCCATGCCATCAGAAAGGCATTTGTTTGCTCCCACAAGGACCTGGAAATAAAAGTTTAGCCTTTGGGGACCTTGAGCCCTCCCCAGAAACTGACCAGAAGGAAGACCAAACATGCAGACCAAAAAAGGACAAAAGATTGTTGGACTGAGTTCGCACGCATCTTTCAAGAACTGCATCCAAATGCCCAGCGGGGCAATGAAAAACGCCCCCCCAAAGTAAGCAATGCAAACCGTCCACTCGGTTGAGCAAAGAAGCCCTCCATATCTTGCTATGGATTTCGCAAATATTGCCAGCCATCTCTAAGGACATTTATGAGCCAACCACTACCTGCCAACCCCTCACTAAGCATGAAGCAGAAGCAGCTGGCTCACCTTTAACTGCTTCCCTTCGGGCTTCTCAAAGGACACCCTCCAAAATGGGTGACGTCCTTCGGGCTTTCCCTTCAGAATGGGTGAAGACTCCGATTTCCCTCAAAAGAAACCCCACCCAGTTGGAAAACCTAGCACCGCCTCTCGCCGTCCAAGCCGCACTTGAAGGGCCCTTCATCTTCGAAGCCGGTGGTGCCCAACGAGTCCCAGGACTGAGAGCGGTTCCCCGCGCGGGGCGCGCTGAGATGCACTGGGCGCGTTGGAAGATTTTCCCCCAACAGCTGAAAGCTTTGGGGCCAACAGTGGCCTGGGGAAGCTCTGAGATCGGGGTTCCATGAAGTGGTTGCTGGACAGGGTTCCGTTCTGAACTGGTCCGAAGGGTGCTGGAAGGTCTGGGTGCTGGAACAGAGTTGAGAGGAATATGTCTGCAGGATTTGGCCCCTGGTGGTGCAGAGCGGTTGGGGTTCCAAAGGGTTTCGGACGGGTTCATGGCGTGGAGCGGTTCGGTTGGGTTCCGAGGGGTTTTGAGGGCAGAGTGGAACGGAGCCGCTGTGGGATTGGTCCTGTGGATGCAATGCATACCCCCGCTTTCCGGTGGGGTGGGGCTTAAGGTGTCCTTAAAAAGTGGTCCTTAAGACGGCTTGAGAAGGGGTCCTGAAGACGGGATCCTTCATGATACGGGGCCACGTCGAGAGATAACCCCCAAAGCACGTCGTTCTCAGACCCGCTCCCCAAAAGGCATGTGCAACAATCCTAGGTGGCTGTTAACCAGCGGACCGGCAGAACGAGATTCCGACACCTGCCATTCCCCCCCCCCCCCCGCACCTCAACAGGAGGCTTCCAGTTCTGGGCCAGGATTGCAAAGTCCGGTCCTGCGCCATCGACTCGCTCCAACCATCGGCGGTGGGTCGAAACTTGGCCCTGATAACTGTCTGGGCTACTCAAAATGGAGTGCTGGCCAAACACAATCCATGACCCCTATTGGAAAACCGCTAGGAAGGGGAGCCCTTCATAACCCAAGATAAAGGTTAAGCTTTTGAACTGTCGAGATACAAGGGAAACCACTCAAAACCCGACCAACTTTCTACCCTTAGGTTTTGATCATCTTCAGGCTCGGGGCGATCGTGCCCAATCTTTTGCAAGCTAGCGGGCAAAAGGGACGGGCCCACCCTTGCCCCCGGAACCACTCAACACTCCCGTTTGGGATAGTGAGTGATACAAGGGCGATGATCTTTACCTCGTGTTCCAGCGGGCGGTCCAGTCTGCACGACCACTTGAAAAAGGCAGTTGTTCCTTAGTGGCGCTGTGAGTGAACACATTCAAAGCTGACTGGCGATCCAAGCGCCGCATGAAGCACGCATGTGTCATCCTGTTTGGATTGGCCTAGCTGCTCGGGGGAAAAAAAAACTGGCCGGTCTCGCATACCATCTGCTGCTCCAGGCAAGCCAGTGAAAACACCGGTGACCAACAGCATGGGTCGGAAGTAACGCCGTGTCGGGCCCCGTAGAAAGATGGATTGCGTACCCTACGTAGCCATCATGCCTAGGGGCGGGACCCAAGGTCTCCTCTGGGGTCCACTCGAAAAGCAAGACAAAAGGGCACCACCACATGCCCCGGCAAAAGCATGCAAAAGCGATGTACGCATTTAGAAATTTAGGCGCGTCTTTTCCTAGCTAGCATTGATGTCGCCATGCATATGCTATTCCCAAAATACATGCATGCATGCATCAGGAGGTGCCTGCTCCGCAGTATGTGGCTGAGCTCTAAGACATGTAGGCAAGTGGTCAAAATTGCAAGTATGCAGTGCCCTGCTCCGGGCAGACACTTTTTGCGCTCCAAGGTTCCCCTGGCGACAGGTGGAGTTTTGGAAGGCGTACAAGGCGCAGCTGGCTCGTGTGTACTGCAAGGTGCTGGCGAAGAGAACCAGCGCCGAGACTACCTCGACAGCTTGTTTCTCCCAATGTCAAACTGGGTTAAGCAGGGGATCCTTCTGGAAAGTTCATTGGGTGGGGACCCCCGCGCGAAAGGAACCCTAATTGGAGGGGCAGCTGCCTAATCTTGAAATAGCTGCATTGGCCCACCACCTGTCTTCAAACCATATCTTAATGTTTGTTTGGCGGAGGCGACCAGTTGGCTAAGCATGACTCACGCCTAAACAAGAAAGCCTCTGAATTACTCACTTGCGGGCGGCTTTCCCCACCCTCCAACTTTGGTGGCAACTTCCCTGAGGCTCGCGCGAGAACGGCGGCTGCGCCTGGGCGGCCGGCTGACTGCAAACTGCGATGTGTCATCCAAAAACCGGCGCAAGACACACGTTGCCGGGATGTTGGGACCCGCCGCGTTCCAACCGCCGGCAACAGCCGCCACCAGCTGCAACCGGGCGGCTCAGCAGAAATCGCATCGAGAGCTTCCAAACGCTCAGCCGACGACTCTCGGACCTCGGGCGCTGCCAGGTCGCACTTTCTGCGTAGATTTGGCCACCAGCCAATGGATTTGCTTTTGGCGCCTTTGTTGGGGTCCCCTCTTTGGGCAACGACGGGATTCAAGGAAGGCTTCTGACTTTGAGAGCTGGTCAAGGTTCAACCCTTCAGAACCTAGAACTCGATTGTCACCATTTTTGATTGGCAACATTGCAAGATGGAACCAACTGTGGACGCAGAAATCTTGAAAATCCGCAACTTGCTCTTCCTTTGCATTCGCCTTTCAAAGCCGAAGGCTTTTGGGGACACCAGTTTTGGGCAAAATTTGCCGGGTGTCCAAAACCTTGTACTTGTCCAGTGCTTTGAGTCTTTGAGGGCTTAAAACGGTGGGAAGAATCTGCATGGCAAGACTTTTGTCGTTGTTTTGCAGATACTTGTGGTGTTTTGCTGTTTTGAGCTGTGTTGGATTTGGGTTGTTTGGGGTCTTGGCGGGCACGTGTAGTGATGCTGTATAGGGCTGTCACTGCGAAACATCCCCAGCATTATTGTGCTTTTCGATCTCTATATTTCGGGTATTTCAAGGGAGGTGATGTCATCCTTGTTTGAAGGTTTATTTTGGAAAACATTGAGAAACCCTAGGCTGTTGTATTCTGCATCCCCGGCATTGTCTGCATTATCAGCATTCCCCGCACCCGCCACCCCAAAGGGGTTTAAATTCTATTCATTCCAATTACAAGACATGGATGCCCTGTATTGTTATTTCTTTGTCACTACCTCCCTGTGTCAGGATTGGGTAATTTGCGCGCCTGCTGCCTTCCTTAGATGTGGTAGCCGTTTCTCAGGCTCCCTCTCCGGAATCAAACCCTAATTCTCCGTTACCCGTCATTGCCACGGTAGGCCAATACCCTACCGTCGGAAGCTGATCCCGTGCATACTGAGTTTCCACATCCGCTCAGCGTTGTTGCTACCTTGCTACCCTGGCTCCTCTACAGCCCACTTACCCCTAAGCGCCCTTATGGATAGGTGTTTGCTTCTTCGGCTCAGCTCTTTTTCAACCATAGGAAGCCACAAACACAAGGAAACCAAATTGAAACCATAAGGTAGCCAGAAGGGAACCCAAACCCCCCCTTGCCAGAAAATCCAAAATGATTTCCCTTGGAGATAGACAGAAAACAATCTGATTTGCAGACTTCGCATCAAATCCAAAACCTGCTGCTGCCTACTTACCAAATGGCGTCGGCGGATCGCGTAGTCATCTCGATTCGGGAACGAGTTGTACAAATCCCGCAGCTCACCGCATTTGAGCCCTTGGAGCGCTTGGACGTGGCGGGTTCCAAACCTTTGACCCCGAAGCGTCAAAGCTCAGGAATCCCCAGCCCTCAAACCTCGGGCCGTCCGCTGGGCTCGGGCCCAAGTCCCTGAGCTCCCGGCATGGCCGCCGCATCCTTCCGCACCTCCCGCTGCCTCGGCCGGGCGAAAAGCAAGTGGGAAGTGGCCAGACTTCCTCGGCCCGGGACGACATTGGGAAACCAAATGTTGACAGACGGTTTGCGCCGCCTTCCGTTAGGGCCCATGCGAACTGCCAGGGAGGGTCGCTCACTTTTAAACCTTGATTTGTTCCATACGTCTCGGAAGGGCAACCATGTTCTACACCTGAAGGAAATCAAGCTGCACAGTCCGATGGTGAAGAGCCAACGTCCACCGCCGAGCGCAGAGACAACAAAGTGCTCGGAACAAGCAAAACAAACGACAAAACCAGCCTGTCAACCGTTTGACTTACACCACCTGCAAAAAGTGGATATGGCATGCGCATTTCCCGGGTAGGGGACCTGCATTGTGGTCACGCAGCCTGAATCGCACTCCGAATGAAACAAGTCTTGCCGTGTTGATCGCAGCTCGGCCTTCCTGTGCCTTGAGCAGAGCCATTGCGCAGACGTGGGATTCCACCTGGGGCAGCTGCAAATGCAGGATCTCTGCAATCAAGTCCTCTGGAACTCCTCTCTCACGAAATCCAATGTCCTAAGAAATCGAGGGAGAGTCTCCCCCTAGACCCACCCCAAATCGGGTGGGAAACCAACACGTGATTGACAAAACAAAGAACGCCCCAGCAAAACGCGCCAACAAAGGGAAGCCAAAGGGGAACATCCTACTGTGCATGCCGCCGCTCCCAGGGCAACCTCGCCACCTTCAATCCCGGAAGTTGGTCTCGGAGTAGGCACACGCCCAATCCCGAGTGGCGCCCAATCTAAAAACACAAGCCCGAGTGGTGTCGGAAGCCTCACCCGGTGTTTGCTCGCACCCTGAGTGTCACCTCCAAATGTTTCGGGAAATCCAACCTCAGCTGCTTAAAGCGTGAAACACCGCAAAGGGTTCACTTTGAAGGCCCCAGTGTGGGCCCCTCCTGCGCAGAAAAAATGCCAGCCAAGCCGCCAGCCCGTCCCGGTTGGCGGTGGCCAAGCTCGCCATGATGTCCTGGTGGCCAAAGCGCCGGAGACGGAGGGAGGGAGAGGGGGGGGGACAGGGGAGCGGAGCGAGGCAAAAACCAACCAAAAAAACAACACATAGCGAAAGAGAGCGAGCGAAAAGAAGAAAGAGAGCGAGAAAGAGAAAAGAAAGGAGACAACGGCGCCAGCCTTTGCCAACCCCCACGTGCGTCAAAACAACACATGGACCACAGGAAGCCAACTGCCAGCTCCTCATCTGATACACGGACAGTGTTGTCCAGCCGCAGCGCCAGCAAGCACGCCGGGTGCCGCCGCACGAGCTTCAGCATGCGATCTTTGGCACCTGGCGGGCTGGAAACGTGCGACCGAGGCCCGGCACACCGGGCGTTTACAAGCAGCCCATGGATGAACCCCGATGTGGGGCAACACACACACACAAACCATGTGTTGGATCAGCTGGGTTCTTGCAAACACATATGCAGTATGTTGCACTACCTGCCTTCACGTTCCCAGTGTGCGGCCAAATCGTTCACCCAAACACAACGGAACAAAAGGTGGAAGTGTGGCAAACTGGGACTACATGAGCTCGCTGGAGAATAAGCGCATCAATTCCAAAACTGCAACATGTTGGAACCCACGCAAAAGGGGTCACAAGCTCGGCATCTGAACAATCAAAAATGACTCCACGACCTGAGGCAGGGCGTGCAGGGCCAACAGAAAAGTGCCTTGCCCAAAAACGCCGGGGGGCGTGCGCATGATCCGTCGTAAGACTTGTCATCTGGAGAGCTGCCCTTTGGAACATGTGAACGTGCACATTCCCCCTGATTGCGCCACATGTCAATAGGACCCGGTCGACATTTTAAGGCTCTTGATCTGCCGGAGGTAGCTGACCAGCTTTGGCGCTTCGTGTGCGCGTGTGCGTTTGGCATGTTTGAACGTCTGCATAACTGCAAGGGTTGGCCAATTTGGGGAGGCTTGGCTCGCTCCACTCCAATACACATCTCAATGTGTAGGAGAAGACTTTCGCACCAACATCCACAAGCCCTCTGAAATCTCTGGTCAAGCCCTTGTGTGTTTTAGCAGGGGTGCAAGTCATAGATGAAGCTCAGCCGACCCTACGCACAAACACGCGCGCGAAACCCATCGTGCAACGGGCAAGGGCAGGCACCATGAGCAAATTGAGAAGGGACCATGGACGCGATATCCACCGTCACAAAGCTTCACATGTTGAAGGTCAAAGGCACCAGAAATTAACTTTGCAGAGATGCTGCGAAACAAGCGGCGAAGCAAACATGACAGTGCTAGGGGGAAGATGCACTCCGGAAAGAGAAGAGCAGAAGCAACGCAAACCATACCTGGACCCATTCAGCCCGCACTGCCACCGACCACCTGAAACCAAACAAAGAAGGCGCAAATGATGCCAAAGTTGGCACAAGCATTCCCGGCGCGTCATTCCCACCACAGTATCCACAGCCATGTAAATTCAGACCATAAATTTGATCAGCAAAACGAAACGGCGGCCCAACCACATCAAAATCAATCGCGCAGCTGCATTGTGACCGAGTGCCTGTGCTCTGGCGTGTGTCACGGGAAGGCCCACGAACAAAAACGAAGAAGCACGCAAGTCTCTGAATGCCAGGCTTCTCAAGCAGCAGCCGACAAAACCGCTCGTACAATACTGAATGAAGAAAACAAACGCAGCCAACCCAAACATTCGCGGAGGCATGCGCCAACCGTCGGATTCTGCCGGGGCGCTGATAGCAATTGCGCCGGTGGCGTCTGTGCCATCGCTGGCGCTCCGCAGGCTGCTGCGGCTCGCCTGCGGCATCCGCAACCTGAGCGCTCACCCCACTGCACATACAAGAAATGCAAGATGTGCGAGGGGGGGGGGAGAGGGGGGCATTTTCTACGAACGATTGAGGGTCAAAGGTACTCGAACACGCGGCCCGTTGCATGAGAATTAGAAAGCCAAAAGAAACAAAACGTGAACATTTGCCAGAAACTGCCAAGGAACTGGTGTGTCCGTGGCACTCTTCGTGTCCAGAGCGCGTCAAGAAGGAGCACATGGCAAGCACTGCCATCACTATCCCAAAAGCTGACTTGTGCTAATGCTGTCCTGTTTTGCAGGGACATCTTGTTGAACAGGACTCTGCCCAAGCAAACTGGTGTGAGTGGGCCTTGTTTTTTGAGGGATCAAACGAATTAATGTTCAAGTGGAAAAGCAGCAAGTGAACACGCAAAAAATAACCTGCAGCCAACAACATGGATTGAACCCGCCTCTGCGTGTTTTGGGTCGCAACTCAAAAGCTTGGGGAGGATTGCTTGGCAACCCCCCACGGCTGTTTGAATCAACCACGAAGGCGCGCCCGGCACAACGTGAATACATTTCACGGTTTAACAAGACTGCTGGTTTCCGAAGCGATTGAAAGCTAGAAGCACCATCTCGCGCAAGCGGCCAGTGCTCAGGAGGGCGTCTCAACGCTTGCTCCGTGTGTATCGCAAACTTCTGGAGACCACCTGGCCCCAGCGCCAGCCCATCCCGGTGGGTATGTTGGCGTTGCAATGCCACCCTCACATGTGTTGCTGCAGATGCTGCAGGGTATACCAACACCCCTGAGTGTGCAGAGCCTGGCCCAAGAGCCTTTGGCGTCGACAGGGCGTCCGCACAGCGCCGATGGGTGTGCAGTCGGGGCACCCACCCCCCGTTTGAGTTGCCCTGCCAGCCAGTGCTGCTCCCGATGCCCAGCACGCAATCCTTGCCTGTGCCTGACACCAGTGAAGCCGGAGTGCGAGAGAAGCAGCAACACAGCTTGTGCAACACACCACAGTTTGTGTGCCTCAGCAGCACGTTGCCGCAAGATCTGCCGACGCCAGGTCTGGTGTTTCCCGGACATCCCAGCAAACATGTTACACGCAGCTGCGGGAAAATCCAGCAGTGGGAGACGCATGCAGTTCTGGGAGCGGCTTGGTGGGAGGCAGCTCTATATTTGCAGCGGCCGCACCTTACCCCGCATGTGTCCATCCAGGCCACTCATTTAATGTTGGACGTCCAGCAGCCCGAGCGAGCACTCACAGCTGCTGAGCTGTCTCTGCCGTTTGGGCTGCCGGATCCTTGCCAGCCAGCCAGCCAAGGCATCATGCTCCCGCCCGCAGGCGCGAGGTGCAAGGACCTGGCATGGCCATCGGGGCGGGGTCAAGTCCCTCACAGTGCCTGCTGGACTGGCGGACCTCAAGATGGTTGCCGCTGCTTGCTGCCACCCGCAGTGGCTAGTCCCGAACCTTGCTCCCGCCTATGCATGGCCGGCAAGAACCCGCCCACGAGGCCCAGCTAAACCGCCATGCCGCAAGGTGAGCTGCGCGCGTGCACTGCGGCGTGCTGGTGGCACCATTCGGAGTGCATAGTTGGACCGAGGCGAAGCACAGTGCAGCAACAACAACCAAGCGACTTGCAAATCGGGAAGAGTAAGAAGGATTTGCAAGAAACGCAATTGGAGGTTGATCTTTATTCTGTTGGCACTGCTGCGCCAATTTTTCTATGTGAGCCACTTGCGAAAGGGCGAAATCATGCTTGAGAAACCCGTGTAGTAAAGGAAGTACACTTTGGCAGAATTTAACAATTTGTCTGCACCCGTGGCAGCTCCGGCTCGAAAGTCGAAACTTTTCAGCACGAGTGTAGTGAAGGAAGTACATTACACGTTGGATCCAGCTCGCAAACGCAACTTTTCAATGCAAGTGTAGGAAAGGAAGTACACTTTGGGTGGTCCCCATCCATGTTTGGGCACGCCAAAAAAGTGTTTGATTGCTCGCTGGGGATGTTGAAAACGATGCTGATGATGTTGACGGGCTAGTGTGAAATACGTACATTTCGTCGCAAAATGCTTGAAAATACCGCATTTTACTTGCCGGAAAACGAATCCAAAAAAAACAAATTGCATTTCGATCAATTTTCTTTCCTGACCTTTTTCCGCTGCCAGAGCCGTTCCTGATCACACAAACCCCCGTGCGGCTGGGGATTCGGAAGTGCGCTCCCTTTTGCGCTAAAAGCATGATCTGGCTCGGGCGCCTAGATGTTGCGGCGAGGTGAGATGCAAAAAAGGCCTGATGCATGTGCAGGGCCAAAATTCACACTCCCAGTTCTTTCTTTGCATCGAACCGAGTTGTGAAAGCCCGTGAAGTGCTCGGTGGTCGAGCTCACTCCCGAATCTGGATGACCGGTTTGAGAAGCCACTGCCGGAGCTGATCACGAAGTAGCTTGCTCTGCTTGGTGAGGCCGTCGGCCATCACGATCTGCGTGGGTATCCAGCGCATCCTCCTCTGGTTCACGTACTCCTGGATAAACTTGACGTTCACCAGGCTGCGCTTGTCCTGCAAGGAAGGGTTGGCCGACACCACAGTGTCGTAGAGCGGCTTGCAATCCACCGCCAACAAGAAGGTGAGGCGGTCGCCAACCTGATGTGCAGGAACATCAAAAATGATCTCCCCCAGGAAGTGGTTCGCGAAGCTGCCGCGGTCGGTGGCGACGTCGGCTGCGATAGCCTCGGCTGCCAGTGTAGACCTGCAGACTCTTGAAGACCGGCAGGATTTCCAGTCTATGAGTGCGCCTGGTTGTGGTGCTTCTGTGACCTGCGAGTTGGTCAGCAGGAAGAGAAATCCATGCTGCGAGGAGGTCTCTAGAGCTTTTGCCCAGCTCGAGTCGCTGTATGCGACGATGTGCGTAGTGCGGCCGAAGTTGACCCCGGGGATGGTGATGCCGTCCTTCGGGTAGGTCTTGAGGAAGTCGGCCATGTCGTAGAGGTCTTGCAAGTCCCCGTAGGTCGTCTGTCGTCCCTTTGCCGCAAGGCTTGTCGGTCTGTACCGAGATCTGCTTGCCCTTGAAGGTGACGGGCGGTCCATCTGTCTCAATGAGGGTGGTAGATCCCCATTCGAAGAGTGACTCCAAGATGCTGAAGTTAAACTCTTCGCTGTAACGAGGAAATCGTCTACGTAGACCAAGAGCACGGCTGATGGTGAGCCAGGGAAGCGCTTGCTGGGGTACATGAAGACCATAGCGTCGTAGGCATGCACCTTAAAGCCGGCCTTTTTAAGTCTTGAGGTCACCTCTCTGCTCCACATGACTGGTGCGTTGCTGAGTCCGTAGACGTTGCCTTCCAGGACGTAGAGGTCATGTGGAAAGGCACCAGCTGCTTTAATCAAAGGATCGCGAGGAGGCCTGAGATATAGTGGGCCGTTGCGTTCCTCCTGTGCTTGTCGTCCTTGAAGAAATGCAGTGGCGGCGTCTCCAAACCAAAGAGTCCATCGCGCCTTGTTGTTGAAGGCTTTCCCATTGGCACCGCTGGCGTAGAGGGCCAAAATGACCATCTCCGATGTTCGCGATGGGGTTGGAGCTCGTCGTGTGAGCGATTTCAGGTCGGGGTCCACATGGCCTTGTGCCACGATCCGGCATTTGGCCTGTAATGGGCCCTGTCCCTTCGTCTTGTCGCGGTAGCATCCCCTTGATGGGATAATTCTCTGCCTCAGAGCGGGGGTGCTCATGATCTTGGCCACCTCCGGTGGGCTGAGTGGCTTGATTGACTTCCACTTCGCCCAGTCTCTTTTCGCACGCCCTCCACAAAGGCCCGGAGGTCTTCTGGAGAACGTTCCATGATCTCCCGCCAGGGTATCTCCTTCTCGAGGGATTTCGTCTCCTGGCGTGACAGGGGCTTTCCCTTCTTGAAGTAGGGACGTGTCATCGGAAGCGCGTCTCCGTCAGATGAAGAGGCTGAGGTCGCTTCGTCCGCTCCCGTGTCCGCCATGTAGGCCTGGTAGGGGTCCGTGGCCGTCCTTGGCGTCCATGTTGGGCGAGCCGTCCCAGTGTTGCTCCATAGGGATGATGCCGTTGAAGGTGCTGTTGAAGTAGCATTCCGGCTGAGGAATGTACCAGTATTCCGTGACGACCTCACGCTGTGCAGGTAGGGCTGGAAGTCGCAGCTGCTGTTGTTCAAAGATGATCTCGCGCGCGTCCAATGACCGGCACCACAGTGATGTCCTTATCGAAGGTCCGGTGTCAAGTGGTGCAGGGACTTTCTCTGCCTTGAGGTCCATGCGCGCGCTACACTCAAGTTCTGGTAGGTGAGGTAGAGGTGGTGGCTGTGGTGAAAAGTAGTTCCTGAGCTCGATGACGTTGCGGTGGAGCAGGGCAATGGTGGTCGCCTTGAAGTCCTTGACGTAGAGAACGTCCATCTGAACTCGGTCGCCCATCTGACCGATGTGCTGGTCAGGAAGAGCTGCCAGGTTCGGAGGTCTGAGTGCGACACATCTGTCGCAAGCGGCACAGCGTAGGGCTTTAGCGGCCTTCACCACTTGATCTGAGTGGATGCCGTTCAGCGCGAGCAACTTGAGGAGCTCCACGTTGTTGACGTGCCCCAAAAAGCGGTGCATCCTGGCCACAGCAAACCGGATAGTCCGATCTATCTGGGTGCCAGGAAAGTCGATTTCGTTGTAGAACTTCTCGTTCTGCTCTCTGTGTGGAGGTGGCTGTGCTGGTTGTTCATGAGGATCTGGTTGTTCCGGAGGGTCGTCACTTGACGTGGAAAGCGTCCACGAGAGAAATGCAGGTCGGAGAGGTGGACGTCGGAGCCGACGTACTTGATGATGGCTCCACGATGGGTGTGAGGTATGTGAGGAGGTTGACGGTGGACAATGGGGTTCTTGGCCAGTTGCAGTCGAGTGATGGTCCAGGGGATGTTGGCCGTGATGGTGTGGGTCGTTCTCGTCTAGCAAGATGTTCCGGGATAAGGTCTGGCCTAACAGATACTCCGCCTGGCCGATGATCTCTCCCCAGATGGTCTGGTTCTCATCCGGCTTGAGGTAGTAAACTGAGTGAGGTGCGGGTTGAGCGCGAAACCGACCTTGATCTTGCTAGGTCCTGGATGCCGGACAGAATGCATCTGACCATCTCCTCTGGATAGGCCTGAGACTGCGTCACATCCATGCCTTCCAGGTCAGTCTGCGGTTGAGGTACTGCAGGAGCTTGGGATGGTTGGACATGAAGCGGAATGTCTTGATAATGGGGTTGCCAGCTCGGCTGACGGCTCCGTAGGCGCCGCTGTCGGTGTCCACGAAGGTCGCGTCCGTCTTGTTCGCGAGGTCCTGCATCTCCGGAAGTTGCCAAACACGACTAGCCTGTGGGCTCTCCAGGATGTAGTGCCTGCCGGCCAAGTGCTGCTTCATGCACCATTCTGCCGCTTGGATCACTGTCTTGCGCTCCTGGTCGCGCCATGCTTGTAGTTCGTGAGGTCGTCGAACGTAGTTGACGTTGTTATGCAGGAGCGTCCAGGGTCGGCAATGAATGCCCTGCTGGATGAGGACCAACGGCTGAAGCCGGTCGAGCATCTCATCGCAGGTGTGCTGTCTTTCTGACGTGGACAGGTCGATGCCGCTGCGGAAATCCAGGGGCATGGTTGCTGACAGACCGAACGTTGGTGCTCTCCTGCTGATCTCCGCCTGGCCGGCGAAGGTTTCCATGATGTCTGCACGACATCTGCTGATCTGCTTGTTGTTGATGTACACGGTGTGCTCGGCCGAGAGCGCTTGGTGGGCCTTCCTGATCGCGCCGGCGACCTGCTTCGTGTTGCGAGTCGAGCTTGTCATAGATGGAGTCGAGGGTCGCTGAGAAGGTCGGAACTTGCTCTGGGGCAAGGCCTGCTGCTTCGGCTTGTGTCCCAGCCAAATGTCTTGCGAAGATGGCAGCGGCAAGGCAGGCTTTGCCGAGGAAACCGAAATGTCAGCTCGTTCCACTGGAGCTTGAGGTAGCACCGCAGGCACTGGCTGTACCGGCCGCATCGGTTTCCGAACCGCTTCCACTGCGGGTGGATGCAATCCTTGGAGCTCTTCGGCTGCATCTCGCGCATCTGGGTGGCCACCTGCTCGGTCTTCTCGCGAAGTGTGAGCCAGCTTCTGCTTGCCAGTCCGAACGTCACCATGCGGGACATCATGACGAGGGCGTTCCACTCCAGGCAGAACACCGCCTTCAGGATGCGGCGCCATCGCGTAAGAGCTGGAGGTGCTGGAACGCGTATCATCTGGCAAGACGTCTGCTTGCGGCTTGATCCACATGCTGTCCGGCAGGAGCAGCTCAGGATCCGGTCTCTGCCACACACATGAGGCTGTGAAAGCTGAACCCATGTGTCTGACGTTGAGGCCTGGGGGTCCTGAGGTGCGATCGGAACACATAAATGTCCGTGCATGCTGGTAACCTTCACTGTCATGCCGATGTGCCGGAAGTGTGCCGTCATGCTGGGAAGGTCCAAAACCATGCCAAGCTTGTGGAGCAAAGTGTTGGAGGCCAACAGAGGGATCTCCGTGTCCAAAACACAAGCTCCCAGCAACACATCTGCTTGTCCGAGGCGTGAAGGCATGTAGACACGGTGAAGTGCTTGCATGGGGTTTCCGGAGCCGAACTGAAACATCTCTGTGGTCTCAACGGACTTGGTCTTGAGGCGGGGGTGGTGAAGGATCTTGGTGTGGGAGGCTAACCAACCAGTTCCGCAACAGGTTCTCTGGCATGCGGTGTCAAGGATCATGTACCCGGAGAAGTCTTGGGGGGCCGTGGTGATGTGAACATGATGGGCGTTGGTCATGAAGTTGAAGAAACTGCCGGCGCGACTGCGAACACCTTTTTGCGAGGACCGGCATCGCCTGATCTGTGCCCTTGTCCTTGCCCTTGTCCTTGCCCTTGCCCTTTCCCGCGTCGGTGAAGTTAACCTTCTTGGCGGAGACGGGGCAGGCATCATCACCTTTCCAATGGCCGATTTGCCCGCAAGCAGCGCAAGATGAGCTCTGCTTGCGTTCGGCTATGGTGCGGTTTCCCGAAAACTTGCGTCCAAGGGTGAGGCTCTGCAACTTCTTGGCCGTGACCGCCAACGTATTCGTCTTCTCCACCTCCTGGCTGATGCCAGTTGCCGTCGTGCTCGTCGGTGGGCCCCTCATCGTCCTGAGCGTCGTGGAAGAGGTCCTGGCCATCGTCGATGGTGTCCAGGGCCTGCTGCGGCTGCTCGGGGATGTCCTGCATGGGAACCTGATCCGCTGCGTAGACGCTCTTGTGGAAATAGCCGTTGCCCTTGCCGGTGCGATAGTTCGAAGATGCCGCGGCCGATGATGACGGTGTAGTTCCGCGGTTCCAGCCACCTTGGTGGGATCCTTTCGGAGACCCTTTGGTAGCCGATTGGTGAAGCTGCTGTCCGTCGCGTCCGAACAAGGCTGGCGTAGGCTTGTGCTCTGGGAAGGTCATGATGAGGGCCTCGGCGATGATGTCAAAGTCCAGCTGGTGCTGACTCGCGATCAGTACCAGTCTCTGCATCTCAGGCGAGATGCGTGCTCTATCCAAGAGCCGGTCTCCATTGGCGTCGCCGTCGTACATGGCGTCCACCTGGATGTTCACCGTCGAGAGGGCGCTCTCGCATCTGCGGCGCGCGATTGACAAAGCCCCGCATCGTCTCTCCCTGCTGGCGCACTATGGACTCAAAGTCCGCCAGCTGCTTCCTCCTCTGGTAGATGACCTTGCTCTGCAGACCCTTGGTCAAGGCCTCGATGATGTAGCCGATGCCGTTGGAGGAGTTGACCCTTTCCAAGTCCAAGTGCTCGGCCTCCTCTTCCGCTTCTCCCTGCAGCGAAGTGTAGAGCATCATTGCGGCCTCGTTTCGCGGCATGAAGGAAGCGATCTGGAGCTTCCACCGTTCCACCTTGCGAAGCCACTTAGGGAACGCTCTCACATCCTCCCGGGAATAGCGCCACCGAGGTGGTAGAGGAGCTTGGCCGGACCTGAAGCGAATGTTCTTGTAGAAGTCGATGTAGGCTTCTTGTCGTGGAGGGCTTGCATAGCCTTGGTGAGTTGCTGGATTGGGTCCTTTGTGGGAGGCGTAGTGGTCGTATCCGGGTCACGTGATTGGGCTCGATCTGGTGGATCGTGTCCTCATCCTCTGCTTCTGCGCCGCCGTCGTCTTCCTGGTGAGCCGGCAGGCTGCGGGTCATTGGTGGGCACCTCGGACTCGGCGGCCTCCGACGGAACACTTCCAGGCTCTGCGTCGAAGGAGGGGGCATCGAAGAGTCCTGCCTGGGGACATACATCCAAATGCCTCTCTGCATCTCCCTGCGCTGAGCCACATCAGCTCTGTAGTACTCCGTGCTCAGGCATGCGGCGCAGTGCCATCCGGGACCGTGTTGATCATGAACGATCTCCTCGGAGTCACAGCGCCAGCAGCGCCAGTCAACGGCATGTGATCTGGCTGCCGAGCTCGGGGGCCCTGAATCTCAAAGGTCCGTGCCGTCATCCCAGAGATCGCCGAAGGGCAGGTCCTGGGAGAGGTCATCCTCAAACAAGGCGGCCATGGCTGGATGCCCGATATTCGGGCTCCGCTACCAGCAGCGAGAGCAGCACGCAAAGGCTGAGCACGAGTTTCACCGCTTGAGCAGACGCAAAAAGGTGCGTGAAAAAAATGCGTTCCTGGACGACGTCTACGTGACGTGAACGCCCGATCGCATAGAGATCCTCGCCGAGGAGAAACTCCGTGCGCCTGGAAAAGCGCCGGGTGCTGCCCGAAGGCATGCACAGCCGGCATGAGCGGGTCGCCCTGCTCGCCCCCTTCAGCCTGCGTTATGTCGTGCGCGACCCCGTCCTCGTCGTAGAAAAGGTACGTGCTCGGCTCAGCGTAGAACTAAGCTACGAACGGTAGGAGGGCTGCCAGGCGAGGATCGCACGGCCGTGCAACATGCTGGCCCGTGAGGTGTGGTCAAACGCCCCGACCCCATCCACACTGAGCACGGTGATGCGCGCATCTACTTCACAGGCCGCGCGCACTGCCCGGGCTAGGGGTTCGGCGCCTGCCCGGGCCCGAAGCACGTATTGGAAAGGCGCGCAGGCCGCTTGGAAGGCGCCCGCGTGCTTTTGCGCGCCACGACGCGCCGGAACACGTCGCTCATGACCAGGCCGCGCACTCCGCCGTCGGGCTTTTGCAAGCCCACCATCCGGCCCAAGCGCACGCCCGCGAGCACGGCTGCTCCGCTGCTCGTATCTTTGACGCTGTCCGGACCGCGCTCCGACTGCGGCCTCCATGAGGGACGATGCTCTCGGCACCCCGGCGGCCGATGATGGCGGGCAAGCCGCGTCCGAGCATCCGCCCGGCACGGCTGCGGGGAGGTGGCGTGGCCGCCCCCGAGCGGGAGCGCGACAATGTGTCGAGGTGGCCCTGCAGCGGGGCCTTGCCTGCTTAGCCGGCGCGGACCTGCGCAGTATGGCCTACACCCTCCAAAGCGCACCAGGTCGACTGCGCGGGTTGCTGATGTTTGCCATGCGCCAAGGGCTGCGCTTGGCGGCCGAGGCGGCAGACGGTGCAAAACGGCAGGATGGAAACTCTCCCTGCTGGCGCCGCGCATGCTGCTGAGCAGAATGTGTGGTCGAGACTGCCTCGCTCCGGAGGAATTGGAAAGGCGCGCGCACGCGCCGCGCGGGACTGCTAGAACGCGGTCCAGCAGCTGTTGCTGGTCGGCCCGCTTCTCACACAAATAGCGTTGTGTGAAGCTGGCATGCCCGCGTGCCCAGCACGACAAGCCCTCGCTGATCCGGCGGAAGGCTCCATGCGCCCGTCCACACCTCCCCGGCAGGCACCTGCAGGTCGTCGATGCCGGGCGGCTCCTCGCCAAATGCATTCCAGATGCGGGTCTCCCCCAGATTAACATCGACCCCAGCATGCGCGCGGAGCGCGGTGCGGACAGCGTCAAAGATAGTCCTTGCACGCTCCGGTCTGCACACGACGTAGATGTCGTCGAGGTTCGCGGGCAAGGATTCGCTGTCGAGCAAAAAGCGCCGTGGGCGGCGATCGCGGAGCAGTTGGCCCCAGCGGCGTGCGAACTCCCCGACCGCAGCCTTGCGCTGGCTGGCTGGGCCGGCAGCGGCTTTTCCACGCGCCAAGCGGGCGCGGAAGTCCTCAGTTTCTGCCGGCCGTTGTCCGCCGATTCCTCTCCTCAACTTCGCGGAGGGCTTTGCCAGGCTCGACGTCAGTGCCGGGCGGCTAGCGTTGTCAACGGCAACCTGGGCGCCGCCAAAAGCTGGCAGGCCATTCGCGACGACCTCGATTTGGCGCCCTTCGTTCGACAGCGCATCGAGGTTGAGGTCACGGAGGAAGACATCGGTCGCAACACGCGCCCCGACCTCGCGGCATACGCGGGCCGCAGCACGCTCGAGCGGGAACGAGCGCCGCCTCAGCACCCCCGCTGCGCGGCAGGCGGTTTTGTGGTCGCCGAGAACGTCTAGCGGCTCCCCGCACCGACCATGCCGGGGGGCCGGAGGCAGCGGCAACCTCAGCCTCCGAAGGAGGAGCGTGCGAAGCACGGCATATGTGAGCCGGAGCGCTTCCCTGGACGGGATGGTGGTGAAAACAACGCCGCCGCCTGGCCCAGCCTGCGCCAACATCAGGGCCCAAAACGCTGGATCAAGGTCACGGAAGAGCGTCTCAAGGGCCCTGACGACTGCGCATCCCCTGGGCACATCGCCCCACTCGCGTGGGCGCTTTTCAAGCGGAGGGCGAGCCAGTCCGGCACCACAAAGCCGGCGTCCTGCAGTGCAGCGGCGGCATGCGGCGGCAGCACGCGCAGCCACAACAGCCGGCCGGGCATGGCCCCATGGCGGGCGCGGTCAACTCCCGCAAAAGGGAAGTTAAGAGCAGGGGATGTCGCTCGCCTATCACGGGGAGCGTGTCGGCCCAGGATGCCCAGTGTGCGGCATGCGGGGTCGCAGCCAGCTGCTGGTCTCAAACCCAAGCCTCCAAAGCGAAGAGGCAATTGAGCTCTCCGGGCGCTGGGGTCGGGAGGGGAGCTGGCGCGGTCCGAGTGGTCGAGCAGTCTGGCTAGGCATCTGAGCACGGCCGCATCATGCTCCTCGGCAAACTGCGCCGTAGCGCATGGCCTCGGATGGCTACATTCCAGCATCCGCTGTGCCCGGAGGCGAACACCCTCCCCAGAGGCGAATTCCATAAGCTGCCCCCGACGGACAGTTGCTACGCGGGAAAAATAGCGCGGAAAAAAACACACACAATTCCAGGCCAAGTACAGGGGAGGTTGCTGCTGACAGCCCCGTCGAAACCCGGCGACTCATCTTTGACATTGGGCGGCCGAGGCCAATGCAGCGCGAGCATCGCTGGCCACGCGGAACCGCAGCATTAATTACCGTGTCCCGCTGTTGTGACGCTTACGCATGCCACTGCCATTCCGCTTGCGACGCCATTATGCCAACGGCCTAGCGGAACGGAGCTCAGCTTACCATCGACTACCCTTGCGTCAGCCTTAATTATTAAAATCGGCTGCAGGCCCAGCGCCACCAAGGTCGGGCGCTGCTTTGCATTTTTCTTTGGAAGGCCATTTTGTTTGGGATTTGTTCGTTCTTTTTTTCAGGGTGGGTGGCTTTTTTGCTTTTTGGTTTTTGGCTGAAGCGGCGCCCGCACAAGTACACCCAGACTTGGATGGGCAAAGCGTGAACTAAAGGAACGCACGGGCTGCAAAAGGGCCAGCCTGAGAGACAAGCATGGCCGCAGATGCGAAATCCAGCTGATCTGCCAAATCGTGAGGCGAGACCGATGAGGAGCACGGCCCTGAGAGCCTGGTTTTGGAATGACTGAATGCTATCCTGGAACGGGGCATGCCAGACCCACCCCTTACACCCTTGAACCCGTGAACGTGAACCCGCACCCCAGCCCGCGCCCACGAAGCCAATCCTAGGCCAACATCCGACCCTGAACCAACCCTAAACACACATCCTACGCCAACCCTGAACCAACCCAAAGCCAACCTAAACCAGCACAACCCCTAAACCAACCCACCCTACAAGCCTAACCCTCAACCCTCACCCTTTTCCCCTAAATCAACCTTAAACCAACCCTAAACCTACCCTAAGCGAACCCCAACCCACCCTTTGCCGTAAGCCAACCCTAAACCAACCCTAAACCAACCCCAAACCACACCCCAACCACCCAACCACCCAACCCCATCCCACCCCACAGCGAAGGAAGGCTTGGGGGGGGGGGGGGGAGGAAGGGCGGGGGGTGATTCACGGCCTGCAGCATCCTAGCATTGCCAACATCATTACCATGATGCAGATGATGCGGGGGAGGGGGCTGGAACATATATAAACCGCATAAAATAACATTGCAACTCTCGCGCAACTGAAGCCACCTGCAAAATGCAGGATAAAACGACTTCGCGGTTGGACGATACTGTTCCAACTTGAACACATGCGCCAATGACACTGGAACCGCTGCAGTGACGTCACCAGGGCAGGCTGGACGCAAGGAGACTTCCAGCGAACAAGCAGGCTACGGCGTTTCTCTTCTGCCTGGCACTGGGAACGGCCAACCTGTGTCGCGGCTTCGCGCCGCTCGACACGGATCGAGCAGCGGCGAGTGGCAGGGCATGTGCCGACCCCCTTTTTCAGGTTTGACAAAGAAGGTCGGCCATGCCACATCAGCTGGGAGAGGGCCGGGGGGAGTCAAGTATTCCTGTCAAACGGCACGCTGGCGCCAACATGGACCTGTCGGCCTGACAGCTTGAGGAAATCAAAACCCCTCGAGAAAAGCAAAGCGGCCTGGACACCCGACGCGTGGTGAGTGAGCGCGAACCACGCCCGACGACAGGTCGATGCCCCCTGCCGCAGAGAAGGGTGCCAGCAGATTGACCAATGTGATCATTGCGACGAGGCGGTGCCTTTAGCAGCGATTTGGGCCAAGGTGGGAAATGTACGACTGCTGTAAGGCGTTGCCAGACCTATGTTTCAGTGAGTCGGTTTGATGAAGCAGCAATGAAGGTTGATAGCACTAGAACTGGGCGCTTCCGCAATCGTCCCTTCTACATTCTACGCGCAGCTCGGCGTCTTGTTCTCACCAACATGTCTAAAGTGAGACGGGTAACGTCTGAATTTCATCAGCAATCATGTCACTGTCGAGCAGCTGGAATTTAATGGTCATCACTGGCGAAGGTACAACCCTGGCCGTTTTGAAGCATACAGCCAAAAACGACACGCCATCCCTCGGACAATTGACAGTGACTCTGCATGTGGCTGCAGATTGTTTCTAGAGTTGCTTTGCAGGCGCCTGCGCGCTCGCGCGCGCTCGCACAGCCACATCTAACGAAAATCAAGTGCCAAGCAAATCGCAGGAAGCAAGCAAGACAACTCTTAGCACGGATGAGTGCTTTGGCCTCAACATACACGCGGCGAGAACCCAAGACTTTGAGCCGGCCTCACGGGGTTTCTGTTGGGTCTCACTTGAAACTGATCAGACCCTTGGAAACTCCAAGCCCGACACGTTTGGCTTTTGGCCTACCTTTAGCTCCAACCGGCGAGCCCTGAAGAGCTCTTCCAAGACCCCCTATCAATTGGTTGACGCGACCTCGTGTACTTTTTGGGGCCATTTGACAGCTGGGGGGTGCTGATTCCTTTTGACTTCAGTTAGTGTGATGATCCTGGGTGTCCTTTTCAATAGCAATGGCAGGACAATGGTACGATTCAGTGTCCTGAAGTCAGACAGCCTGAGAAAAGAATGCGGGTGAACTGGCTTCAAATCTGGCAAAGGTGTTGTTTGGCAAACATGTGACACACTTGAAACATTTGGAGGGGTTCAACCCGGAAGCACTACTGTTCGTTTCACAGCTACCTGGGCCCCCCAATCTTTTGAAATACCCATTCAGGGAAGACACGAACTGGGCCACCTCTCCCTCAAAGAAGCACAAGCAAAGATTGGAGAAGCATGCCCGGACTTGCTAAGATTCACTCTGGCTCGGCTGCTGTTAGAAAGATCGAACTTACCCAACTTTACATCCGGAAACGCGCAATTTCTGTCGATTTCACGCCCAGCTAACTGATCGGCAACAGTCTGGCGAGGATGATGTTCGCTTCGCGCCAGGAGCCACGCTGGCTGGTCGCGCGTCGCATGCGTTTCGTCGTATGCGTTTCGTCGCATGCGTGCGTTGCGTCGCAAAATTTCGAGTTGCTGGCCCGTCCACTCACCCGGCAAAAGGCGCGCAACATTTTGCCCGATTCCTCTTTCGAGTGCCTTCTGCTCGAGCGGGTCCTTTCCCTCATGCATGGGACACCCTGGCCAGGCTAGATGGCTTCCTTGGCCAGCCAGGGCAACCACTGGAGCCCCAAGCTGCAGTTCCCAATAGCGCAAAGCCCTTCTCCCAGCTGACAAAGGGATGCTCTTGCCATCTAAACAAGGGAGTGAAGAGGCCGCATTTGCGTGTAGTATGTGTTGTGTTGGGGCATGTGACAGCATTTGGATTGGACGGAAACACTCTCCCCCTATGAATGATCGATGGCCATAGTTGCCCTTACTGCTGCTTGGGCTCACAGGGTGAGACACACCACACACCGAAGTGAGCGAGTTCCGCCACATGTGGCCGCTGGGAAAACACGGCTTCTTGTCGCTGGTCGCGTCTCAAGTCGAAATGACAAAACGGGAATCCAAGAAAGGCACACTCCCAAAGTGCGAAGTGGGTAGCGGCTATCATTTACGTGCGGGGTTGTGTCAACACCAGTTTGGAGGTTCCTTCAAGTTCATAGCCATAAGCCATTCAGCGACCCCACCTTCGATGTGTAACAAGGCCCCCGAGTCCAGGCCCGGGTCCCGTGGGTCCGGCTCGCATTCGGCGCTCTCGGACTCTTGGCCACGAGGGCCTCGAGTGGGCCAAGAAGCCGCCTCCCCCTTCTTTCCGAGGGATCCTTGTGGTGACAACTGCCTAGGCTTGATGGGTGTAAAAAAGGAAGAACAAAAAAACGGTGTCATGCAACAAACGCTCAGAAACATGCTAAGATGTATCGAACCATCTAAGGTAAAAGTGACAGGGTGTCTGTGCAGAGAAATCACAAAGAAACAGAAACACTGCAAATGACCCAGATCCCACAACCAAGCATGCGGCTGATAATGTCTTCGCGGTTTGAGGGACCAAAATCTTTGATCTTTCGTAACACCGACCTATGCAAGTCCACGCACACCTGATCATCGAATTGTTTAAGATCCACGGCCACAACATCGGCTTGGTCGGACCATCTAGCCAAACATGCCAAATAGGTCAGACCCAAAGCTCGCTTATTCATAGCAGGGGATGTGGGACTGCGACTTCAAACCATTGCCAGAGACCAAAACGGTAAGTGTTTGTCACCCTTCGTGGGCTGCATCTGGGACAAACACCATGCTTGAACGCAAAAAACCAGCTGCTTTCGGAAACATTGTTTGCTAGGCCGTGGGAAACCCATCAACAAACCGCAACCAGCGGAAACTCGTAGGTCAGCATGGGGGAAACTATTGTCTTTACAAATTATTTGCGCTGTTTGAGCGGCATGTCTGTTTGCAAGCAACCACTGAAAACCATCAGAACCAAACCCAAAGTGAACAAGTCCCGGGTCTTAATCACCCCAATCAGAGACTCAGCGCTTTTCGTAGTTGGTTCAAATGGGAACACTAACAACTCGCGCCATTGACAACTGGGTCTATCTTTTTTTGGGGGACCCCCAAAATGGTGGCGTGCGTTTTGGTTTCCCTTTAAAACCACCAAAACAACAAAACACCCCCCCCAACAGAAAAGTTAGAGTGAACATGCTCTGCCCTTTGCCGGACGCCTGGCCCTGCCTTTCAAACAAACAGGAAACAGGAGGCCCTCGTGGGGCTTTTCTTTACCCTCAAAAAATACACCCCCCCTCTGAACAGGGCCGCTCACAAAACGGGTTTTGCAGGAACCAAATGCGCTCCCCAGCCTAGAGTTCCTTCTTGAGCTTAAGTGTTGGGTACTTTAGACAGACATCAACGGAGTTTTCAAGGAACTGGGGACATCAACGGCTTCACTAAGCCCAGGCTAGTGGAATCCCCCGCTAAACCCGCCAGACAGTTCATGGAACTGGTCTGCCCGCCTTTTGCCTCATCTGCTGGCCCGGCAGTAGGTGCTGCCCGTCTCCCCGGAGGCGTGGGAGCACTGGATGACCTCAGGCATCGACCCGTCAAACGGCCCTGTCGGCAGACCCTTCTAGGCTTCTGTAGCTGCTTGTGAAACGCGCGAACAGCTGGCGGCCCATGGCCAGCTTTGCATTTGACCTCCTGAAAGGCATTGCCTTCCGCCGACTCTTTCCTACCGTTGTCCAGGGCCAATGGTGCAACTCCGCAACAGGTCCGACAAATTGCTGCAAGCCCTGAGGGAATTATCTGGGGGGGGGGGGCGCCTTTGTGAGGCCTGTGACAGCTATGGGATGCTTGAGTTGCCATAGCTTCTGCCCAACACCTTTATGGCAGTCCGCGCACCAACCTCCACTCACACTGGTTTTGGTTTTGTCTCAGGGGTGCCTCATGGGAACCCGAAGACAACCAACCCTTCAGGCGAACAAAATGAGAAGGCCAACAGCAACATCTACGCCCAACAACGGCCGTATCGGCCCAAGACCACCATTGTGCGTAGGTGTTGATTTCCGCTTGCTAACAAAAACATGGTTGAACACACCAAAACACAACAATTGGAAGCATCAAAACCCAACGGTGCTGGCTAGGGGACGCCAGTACGTGCCAAAAAAGGGACCCCCCCCCGAAAATGTGTGTGTGTGTGTGTGTGTGTGTGTGTGTGTGTGTGTGTGTGTGTGTGTGTGTGTGTGTGTGTGTGTGTGTGTGTGTGTGTGTGTGTGTGTGTGTGTGTGTGTGTGTGTGTGTGTGTGTGTGTGTGTGTGTGTGTGTGTGTGTGTGTGTGTGTGTGTGTGTGTGTGTGTTGTGTGTGTGTGTTGTGTGTGTGTGTGTGTGTGTGTGTGTGTGTGTGTGTGTGTGTGTGTGTGTGTGTGTGTGTGTGTGTGTGTGTGTGTGTGTGTGTGTGTGTGTGTGTGTGTGTGTGTGTGTGTGTGTGTGTGTGTGTGTGTGTGTGTGTGTGTGTGTGTGTGTGTGTGTGTGTGTGTGTGTGTGTGTGTGTGTGTGTGTGTGTGTGTGTGTGTGTGTGTGTGTGTGTGTGTGTGTGTGTGTGTGTGTGTGTGTGTGAGTGTGTGTGTGTGCGGAGTGACAGAATGCCCTGTCACCACCCTTTCGGTTTCTCAGCAGGGGGGTCACCCGCAGTCACGACCGGTGACCCAACGAAGAGGGTCGTGACCTGCGCTGATATCTGACCTGATCAGTCAGACGTACCTGCCGAGATGGTTGTGTTGTTCTGAATGTCCTTTTGGTCCCCCCCTGAACTGCCGTTGCTTCTGTGTGTCCCTGTTAAAGTAACTACAGGGAAGCCAAGCGTTATGCGAGTCGAACCTCATCATACTCGAGACTTATCAGTTGTACTCGAGACTCATCAGTTGTACTCGAAAGATTAGCACTCTCCATTTGGAGTTTAAGTGTGTACACCCCATTCGTGGGGAATCCTCGGGTGTACCCATTGTGTGACCCCGGGCCGGCTCTGTCGGAAAATTTGACCTCAACGTGCTTATCATAGAACAGCGGAATTTCACATTTAACCAGGAACGAGGTTTCACTAAAGGGAAGACAGCGGTCAGATCATAGAGACGTCTCACCACTGATGTTTGCGTTTGCTTGCCATTTGTTGGATTCGTTGATACCTTGCCGTTGCATGGATTTGCTTGTTGTCTGATACGTGTCTCTCAAGATGGAAGCGTGAAGATTGAGAGTCGATTGTGTAACCATGTCTCGACGTGATGATCGTGATAGATCCAGGACTCGGCGCAGACGTGATCGGAGTACTTCTCCTCAGGCTCGTAAAGCACACCGACGTGAACACAATGACCACCACGTCTCGGAAGGCATGGATTGGAACAACCTGGTATCTTGGCAACACAATTCCGGCTACAACTCTGCCAACAATTTCCCGATGATGCCCACCAATTTTCAATCGACTCATAGTCCCACACAGCAATTCCAACATCCAGCAATCAACTACATGATGCCGATCCCTCCAGACCCCACGCCAACGAAGTTCATGCCACCCGTGATGCCACCACCGGTCACTACCCCGCAACCTACACCGCCACCTGGACCTCCTGCGGCTCTACCGGTTCGTCCTCAGAAAGCCTGGCTTACACCATCGCCTGACTGGACACCTGGAGAGGGCATGTTTGATGTCAATCAGCTCTACAACTTCAGCCTGCCCATGACCGTTGCCAACACTCCGCATGGCAACCTGCGCGACATGTCAGGCATGGATATTCGTGACGTTCGCCTGGTTCAGGTTATTCATGGGGGCCTCACCAACTGGCTGCTCCGACCGTTCGCTCACGGCAGATTCGTGACATGGGAAGGCTTTCGCACTCGCACCGAGGCCTTACTTTGGAGTACCTGTTCCAAACTACTACGACGATCACAGTCGATCAACCTGCTCACCCTGGAAAAGGACCTTGCCAACTCGCTGGGTCTCAACATCGATGACTTCAATCAGCGGATCAAGGTTCATGACCATTTGGCCAGCTTGGTACTTCAATTTCTTCAGCAACACCACGCTTCTCTCACACCTTCCACCCAGACAGATGACATGGTCAAGAAGTACAATGATCTAAATCGTGCGCATGAGCTGCTCCAGGCTCAGTATTCAGCATCGCTGCGCGCTTCGACCTCTCCCACGATGGCAAGCCAGAAAGATGATGCAGAGTTGGTTACACCGCCACCGGTCAACCACACACAATCCTCGTCACCTGCCAGCTCCCTCCCTACAGTCAGCGCAGCGGCCCTTGATGGCAAGTCGTTTGATAGCGCGGTGCAACCCCGGATCATTCAGTCTCTTCACGGAGTGTCTTCACCGCCGTCCAAGCCGGCGGCGTCACAATTGCTCACCATGCACAGCACGCCGGAAGAAGTTGTCAAGTACTACACATGGACCAGTGACCAGCCACGCCTTTATCTCAAGCAATCGCCCACAACCACAACTTTGACGTCACTGGTCAAGTGGGCCAATCACCCGTCCCGGCTCAACGGCAACAAGTCATTAGATTCCATGGCGACGCAGCTCCTTCAAGCGCGTCAACGCATGCCGAAAGGCGACGCACCTACTCTCGGGGCGATGGCGGCTTCGTGGGGACTGGAGCCCGGCTATCTCACCAAGCTCACTGAGAAGGCATTGAGTCACCTCATCGTGACCGCTCGCTTACTCAGCGGATGAGCAGGCATCTTAACGACCTTCGTTCTCTTATGAGCCCGGAGCGGCAACCGTGTCACGGATGAGTCAAGGTTAAAACTCGTCCGTCATCTTTTTGCGTTGCATCAGTTTGATCTTGTGCTTGGTTGTGCTTGCATTGCCTTGTGCGTGATTGTCTGTGCAGCTTGTATCCATGTCGCCGCCTTATGGTAGATTTCATTGGTTGCATTTTCACCATGTTGGATGAGCTTCGCCGCTGTGGAATCTATGATGATGTTGCACAATGGCAGTCTCTGGGCAACTTTTTACACTCGTTGACCATGTTCTCTACGTGCTGGCAATACTGCTTCCCTGGACTACCAACACCGTCGATACCAGCTGATGAGTACAAATCAATCACACAACTACCGTGGTTGGGCCTCATTCTGGAAGTCTTAGTTGTGGTCCGGATTGCCCTTCAGATTCCAAATCACGCTATGTCACACTCTCAACACACTGTGGCGAACAGGTATGAGATTCATAGATGTCGGTGCACTGCCTATTTATTGATCAGTTTCTTACAACGTCTCATTTCCCAAGATCATGGCTACTTTCCGCCGTTCTTTGAAGTCCTTCACTTCTACAAGGCTTTTCTCTTGTGTGAAATTATGCACTCCACTTTTGCCGACACGCGACATCTTCGCTCATTGCGGGCACGATTTCCGGACCTCTATGACTTCATTCACGATCCAGGTCATCATCAACAACCGTGCGTCTACATCCGACTTTCCCCATGGCACACACCTTACTACGTTGGTGCGACTGATCAGGATGTTCTACGACGTGAACACTCACGCAGTCGCAAATTTCTACAACTACTTCGGGGACGTCATGCCTTCTTCGAACCCGCGCTTCACTACTGGAAGCGATCCAATACTTACTGGCTCTTCTGTGCTGTTCCGGTTGAGATCAAACTTCCCGTTTCCTCGGTTTGGGTCCAGGAAAGCAAATGGCAATACCTGCTACGCCCGCATTTGAATGCACCCTGGGTACACAGACTTCTGCGAAAGGTGGGCTTCCGGGAACACCTCGTTGATTTTCGACGTCACTCGTTGTCGTCTCCCACTTCCCTCGGCTTGCACAAACGCTTTCGACGACGACTACATCCGGATCTTCAACGGCAACTACGTCCCGACATGCTGGATGACATTCAGGCCCATTACTCTATTCTCTATCAGCTGGGATCCAATACAGGTGCATCGTTCCAAGCCATGCGTGACCTTCTGTCGGCAGCTTTCCCTCCTACTCAGCTTTACTACTTTCTGCGGCTCTCCGTCTTTGTCAACGAGCCCTTCCGCTCCAAGGCGCAGAAACTCCTCGCCCAGGTGTTACGCAAACGACAGCTACAATCACCCACCACTTTGACACAACTACTCCTACCGCCTCTACATGTCCGGAATTGGAAAGCTCTACTTGGCACATGGTTACAAAGCTGGATTGCTTCTCATCGTGATTTGTTTCCCTCCCTTTTCCTTCCAAAGATCCGGGTGGTGGAAACTCGCAGTGCCACGTTGGGCGACAAGATCTACAACTACCGCACATGGCAGCGCAGATGGACTCCTGAAACATCTTTTCCGTGTCGCTGTTTGGACATCGATGATCACCATATACACCGAGCACATGGACATGCTGTAATGGTTGATGAGTTCTCACGCATCAATGCGGACATTGACATGGAAATCATGGCCGCGTCAATGAAGGATCAGTATTTCGGTGATGTCGACTTGTTACATCAACGTTTCACTACGCAACTTCGCAAACTTGCTCGTCGCTGGCATGTGCATGGTTCCAGTCTTCTTGTTGATCTGCAGCCGGTTTTGACTCAGTTGATGGACACTCAT